ACTTTCCCAACCATCATTTTTTATTCAATAGAGGCAATGTCTTTTGATAAAAATCTCCCCTAATTTCTTCTTTCTTTCTTTTCTTTCACGTTCGTCAGTTCGGAAGGTGTCTTGAAATATATCAATAGTATTCTTTTCTACTTCCCCCAAAATACCTTGACTTAAAGAATTTCTCAAAAAATTCTTCTTCTTTCATTCTGTTGTCAAACACTTCTCGTTTGTACCTTTCTTCAATCATTGGATATTCCATAAATATTTGTTTTCTAAATGGTTCCCATTCCTTGCTTTCAATAAACTTTTTGAATTCTTCTCTTCTGGGAGGTTCTCCTTCTCTAAAGTATTCACTTACACAATCAGTTATTAATGCTGAAGAGAAACCAGGTTTTATAATGTCTAATTTTGTTTCCTTTTCTTCTTCTATTTCGCTATAAAATATTTCGTCATCAGGGATTAGTAGTGTTGCAACAAGTTCATTATAAAGAAAAACCTTTCTTGGTGTGTCTAGTCTAACATCTTTTGATTTAGACATGTAAAGAAAATATAAAAAATAAAGTTTAAACTTTTTAAAGTTTATATAATTAATAGAAATTATAATTAAAAGTTATACTAATAATAGAGAATAAATGATTTGTTTATCAAATCACTTAAATATTAATAAGTTAAATAGAATAATGTTTATTTTATAATTAAGAATAAATATCTTAATTATATTACGTTTTTGTTATACTTTTCAAATGTTATAATCTGTATTATGAGATTATTGTTTGTTATATTTAAATATTAAATTGAACGTTTTTTAAAATATTCATTCTATCTAGTATTACAAATTTATATTAAATTGAAATAAGCTAACAATTATTAACTAGAATTTCTTATTTCATTGAGACAATTCTTTTTGGTTATTATAAGTAATAAAAATTATGGGATTAATGAATAATGAATAATTATTAAATCAATAAACTAAAACTCAAAGACACTTTGTTTCATTATTAAAAAGATATCTTAATTATTTGAAATATTAGAATATTATGTTTGGTAATAAATAAAAATGGATTGTTTTTCTTATAGTTTGTATTTGGTATTATTAATGAGTATAACCAAAATTGAATGTTAAATTAAATGTTCTAAACCAATAATTATTTTTTTATAAGAATGAAAGATAATACAACTATTTTAAAAAGTAAAGGTTATCTAATCTAATATATATTTAAAAAGAAAAAGAGTTAAAAGGAATATCTTTTCTTTTGAATATTCACATGAATTAAAAAGAAAAAAAAAGAAATTCAAAGAAAGAAATGTCCTTTATTCAAATAATAATTTTAAGAAGGAGTTATTGTTAAAAAGATTTTAGGAATTTTCATAAATAAAATGTAAATTTCAACTTGAAAATTCATTTTAAAAGAACATTAAAAAGTAAACAAATCAATGTTATTATATTTCATTTTTCTTCAATTAGTCAATTCAGACTGTTGGTATTCACAAGATAATGAAATCATATATGATCCAAATCTTTCAGGAATGACATGTAGTAATCGTGGGTATGGATGGAAATTAATTTGGGATGGAACAATTGACTGGATTATATTTACAGGAGAGTGTTGTGAAAATAATCAAAATTATTATTCTATTAGTTCATTAGCAGAAAATAGAAATCCAAAAGGAATAACATTTGATGAATCTGCATCAATTTCATTAATAAAACTTTTACCACCATTTGTAGATTCTAAATGGATTATTGATGGAAGAAATATTAATAATGGATGTGAAATTTATATAGGAAATACAAGAGAATATGTTATAAAAGATAAAGAAACAATTATTATAATTGGGACTAAAACACTAAAGATATATTTTGATAATCAAGAAATTAATATCATTCATTTTAAAGAAAAAGAACGACCTTATATGTTTATTTCTGGAAATTCAACTATATTAAGAGTTCAAGAAGATTATCAAATTAATGAATGTCATTATCTTTTTAATGCTAAAAATGTTATTGTTGAACAACCTAATGACTATGTTATTCAAGGAATTTGTTCATTTATGTCACAAACACGTTATATCGAATGTCCTAAATCTAAATTTATTGAAAGTGATTGTAGTTGTTTTATCAAATCAACTGTTAGTGAAGTTTCATTTACTGAATTTACTATGAATTATCCAGACTGTTTTGTATCAAGTAATTTCTTACCTTTAACAATTAAATCACACCAAACAAGAATTAAATTTGATCAACATAATCAGTGGTTAAAATTAATTATTGAGCCAAGAATACAACCACTATTAATTCAAAGTGATAAACCAATTACTATTAAAGAAGATTTTATTCTTCCATCAATTACATTTATTTTACAAACGAAATTAATTATTTTATCTTCTTTAATAATTCAAAAAAATAATGATGGATTTTATTATTTTAAAGAAATTTATGCTTCATCATTACTAGTAAATGAATTGAATAAAAACAAAATAATATTTAATTGTGGTTCATATTATATTCCTAATAATTTTAATTTACGAATTGGTTGTAAAAATGGTTTATATAATAGAATAGTATTAAATGAAAGTCAAATAGAATGTAATTGTTATTATAATAATAATACATTTGATCAAAATGATTGTAATTATGTTTCTCAAATGGAATCAAATCAATTAAAATTATTTGTTTTGAATAAAAATTATTATCATCCTAAAACTGAAGTATATTGGAAAGAATTAATAATTCAAAATGGAAAAATTGGAGGATTTATTAAAGCAGATAAATGTATTTTAGATAATACAATAATAATCA